GAAAAGAGGTCCCGCTCTAGAGACGCAACTCGGTTTTTATACCCCCGAACTGACACGCCTCGCGCACCCAAAGATTGAGGCGTGTCACACAGACGCATTGCGTAATATCAATCCACCCATAATTAGTTTCCGTATTAAAAGGTCCTATATTTCTTGGCGAATTTACCCCCAGGATATAAGGCGCTCCGGATGATCCGCATCTCTATTCCTCACATACTTCTTTCACGCACCCACCTGTGTCTCTTACATTCTAATCTCTCAAACAAGAGATGCAAATCACCCGGAGACCCAACAACCCTGGAATATAACAAGGGATAAATGTTGCTATGTCCGTCCACACTAGCGAGCCCACATGCTTCTGGCTATTACACACCTGTAATCCTCACTTCCCCTCTCATACTATTTCGATAGTGTGAACAGACCCGGCAACAAGGAAAAACCCTTCCAATTGTAATACAAATCTATTTCCCAAATTTGCCTGATTAAATTTAAGTCAACTGTGGCGACACGCCCAGCGACACCTAATCCAATCGGCCAAGCCGAAAAAGTAGAGCCAAAATTAAGAGCGCAACGTCTCGGAACAGGTGTTAAAAATAGCATACAAGGAATTTGCCTTGTATATGTACGTCAATGAACCTTTGAGGAAAACGTAAACACAAGAATATCCATATCATTACATTAGTATTATCTTTCAAATGCCGTTGGAATTTAACCTTTTCATGTTTTGGCCTGCAAATGGGACATAGTACCGTTAAAGGTAATACAAAGTTTTGGTATGGGGTCATGATTTTGGTTCAAATTAACATTAGAAGCATATGCGATCAGCGATCTTATACTATTCAGCAACACGCATGCGGTCATTCCGACCTCTGAGGGGGGGGGGGGGGGGGGGGGGGGGCGGGCACGGACCCCGCCAAGGGCCGTGATCGAGGCGGTCTCCTGTCCCGCCCCCCCCCCCACTCAGAGGTCGGAATGACCGCATGGTTGTTGCCAAAATGTCCGGTAAAGGGGTACTTTTCGTGCGACAAAGTCCGGCCCGAGAATTGTAAAAAAAAGGGGTGTATTTGACTTTTCACCCGGAGATTTCTTTAAAAAGGAGGTGTTTTTTTGTTTTTTTTCTCATCTCTTTGGACTCCTGAGAAATTATTCTGAATTTAGGGGGGTACATTGAGCATTTTTCCTGATTTAGGGGGGTCTCCAAGGCACGAAAAGCCCGCAAAAAGCCCGCAAAAGGGGGGTTCGGAAATGTTGGCAGTCCTCAGATAGGGGGTGCTTTCAAAAAGAAGGTACGAGCATATGCGTACCCTAAATAACACTGAGTGGGGGGGGGGGGGGGGCCGGGTCCCCTGTATGCTCATTTGACCGTTATTAAATACCTAAAACCCCTGAGCTTCCGGGGCTCTGCCCCCTGGACCCCACCAAGGGCCCCAAGGCGGTCCACTGTATGCTCATCTGACCGTTATTAAATACCTAAAACCCCTGAGCTTCCAGGGCTCTGCCCCCTGGACCCCACTAAGGGCCCCAAGGCGGTCCACTGTATGCTCATCTGACCGTTATTAAATACCTAAAACCCCTGAGCTTCCGGGAGCTCTGCCCCCTGGACCCCACCAAGGGCCCTAAGGCGGTCCGCTATATGCTCATCTGACCGTTATGAAATACCTAAAACCCCTGAGCTTCCGGGGCTCTGCCCCTGGACCCCACTAAGGGCCCCAAGGCGGTCCACTGTATGCTCATCTGACCGTTATTAAATACCTAAAACCCCTGAGCTTCCGGGGCTCTGCCCCCTGGACCCCACTAAGGGCCCTATATAAGGCGGGCCCTGTATGCTCATCTGACCGTTATTAAATACCTAAAACCCCTGAGCTTCCGGGAGCTCTGCCCCCTGGACCCAACCAAGGGCCCTAAGGCGGTCCGCTATATGCTCATCTGACCGTTATGAAATACCTAAAACCCCTGAGCTTCCGGGGGCTCTGCCCCCTGGACCCCACCAAGGGCCCTAAGGCGGTCCCTGTATGCTCATCTGACCGTTATTAAAAACCCCGAGCTTCCGGGGGCTCTGCTCCCTGGACTCTCCGCCAATTAGTGGCCTGCCAGTGTCACAAACAGGGTATCTAAATATGCTTATCTGACCATAATTATAATGCCCAAAACCCCTGAGCTTCTGGGGGCTCAGACCCCACGCCAATTTACACTCTACCTGATCGTTAATAATCCACTTTGAAAAACGTTTCGCGGGGCCTGTATTCAACGTGTAAGAGTGGTGGTGATGTATATTTTGCTTCTGCCCCCCCCTTCCAAACGTTTTTGCTCGTTACGTCACTGCCCCTGGAAGGTGCACGAGCCCCCTGGAATGTTTGCCCCCCCCCATCCCAAACTGCTTCCGGCGCGCCTGTGCGTGCGTGTGTGGTGTGTGCGCGCGTGTGTGTGTGTGGGAGGGGGGGGGGTGGGGTCCCTATAAAGCTCATGTGCTAATTATTAATTTCCATTTTCATAGAACATTTAAATTCCAATGTCAATGATAAACATATTAATTACAAAAAAAATAAGAAGAAGAATGATAATAATGTCCTTTTTTTTGCTATTTTTTACTTTTTATTTAAATTGTTTAAAAAAAAAAAATCGTTTTACGCCTCTTACTGTTCATAAATATTAAATATTTTTTAGAGATATGAGTGTGAGGAATTGTGAATGGATATTTGAAAGCGTGTTCACTCGTCACACAACATAACTCTTATTTTTATTTTAGCTACGAGGAAGCAAGGTTGCACTGACAATAAAATACATGAAAGAAAGTATTCCCTTTTCGTTATGTTTATTGGGTACTGATGAGGCTGACGTACACTTGCAAAGTGTAGTCAAGCACAAGCCGAAGAATCGGAATGAAAATGCATAAATGAGAATTGAAGATATTGCACGTAGTTACATAATGATCAAAGATAAGAATGAACATGAATAAATGCGATGTACATAATGAATGAAAGCTTACGACAGAATAGAAATGCCGTCGAAAGTCCAATGAAGAAGAAGAGAGTTGAGAACGAAGGAACTGGCAGCTCCCAGCGGAGAGTCAGGCGCCATGTCGGTCCTGACTATAACGTTCCACTGGGAGACTGCAGCCCGATGAACACGGCAGAGAAAGAGTTGACGTGCCGTAGAAGACGAAATAGGCACAGTAGAATAAAGCCTGGAGAGGAAATTACGGAGACGTCTTGACTCGACCAAGGTGAAAGCGGGAGTGAAGAAAAACCTCGTGGAGTTGAAAATACGCGGGGTGAACAGTGCGGAACCACGATGCGCGATTGGAGGAATGAACACACGTGGTCCGAATAATGAATATAAATAAGTACCGTGATGGAAAAATACTGGAGACATGAATGTACAGTGAAAGTAGGGCGAATGTAAGTAGGGCGAATGTAAGAGCCGCTACAATTTCATATCTCTTCGAATTTAACGAGAAAAACTTACAAAAGCTTGGTACTGTATACTAGTACTAGTATACGAGCTGGCAAATATAACCCTTATCAACGTAATAATGCTGTGATTGTCAAGATGGGCTCATAATGCTTCAAGCCTCAACAAACAGTAAACAAGTAAATCTATGACTAACAAAACGGTACGAGCCGTTAGCCCTCTACGGTTTGAAATTGACATTCGGGGATTCCCCTGTGACGTTAGGCTGGAAAATCCCAGTTTCGTGTAGGTGTGGTGGTCGATGGATGGTGATCATTATTACCACACGTTTACACGATCACGACCAATTAAGATGGACCCTCGTATTGGCAGTCTCTGGCTTATCTCGACATGTGTGGGTATTGTTATGATATCTTGCTACATTTCAGGTAAGAGTATAGAGATTCCACCATTATTGTAAACCAGGGCCGGGCTGTCAACTTTTACTTTGGGGAACTAATTGGCCCATGCTCCTACTACTAGTAGTAGTACAGTGCATGAAGTTTACACGGCGAAAGGGTGGTGCGGTCACTAGTCTTCCACACCAGTCGTTTATAATATAATGCAAGGAATAATTCAATTTCAATTCAGAACTTTGTTTATTTCAGACTCAGCTGCACAAGGCAGAGGTCCATGAAACATATGTTACATAGATATATAGGGAAAAGAGCTGAAAACAATGAATCTGACAAAGAAAGACAGAATATATATAACAAACTACAATCTAACTCTAACTTCTAAGCTGTACCTGTACTAATTGTAAGATTAAAATAAGTACATGTAGACTATAACAATTATCTATTGAAGTTGTAACAATTATCTCTGCTCAACAACCAGAACAATATACTAATAATAGATAACTATAACAACGAGAACTATATACTGCACCCATGAGAGGCTGGATACTGGTAACACCAACATAATGATCTATTCCCATGTGTCAGCAGGCTATATTCAGCCAAAATCTCCAAAGGCCCGATGTGTACCTAAGACAACTATAGAAATTTAAATAATTTTAAAATTGAAATAATCAAAGTTGTAACAGATTGAATATTAAATGATGTTGTTGTTTTAGTTTTATTGGTGTGTATCATTTATTTATGAATATTTACGCTAAATTCAAGTTGCATTAACAAAATTAAATGGAAGCAGAAAAGGGAAGAGAAAAACGATCTTAGCTGTTCAATTTTGCGCATTTTGCAGAGATTCCAGACAGACTGCATGTCTACACAACTTCATTGACTATTTTGTGTGTATCTTCTGGCCAGTCCGGTTCGGCTTGCAACGAACACTCACGTTCACGTATCACGTGATCACGTATCACGTTTGCGCTGTTTCGTAAAATAGGTGACTCTAATTTACGAAGTGTAGGGTCTACCATTCGTTGTTTTCCACGCCGGTAAAACACGAATGATCACGTCTTCCAAAACGTGACGTGAGTGTTTAATCAATATTTTTATAATTGCAAGCGCTTGTTACTAAGACTAGTCATGACGTCACCGTAATATGTATGATTTGTGTGTACGATATATATACGTATCGCCTGCGCCTAGCTAGCTAGCTGACAACAACGCGTCGCGACGATATCCACAAAGTCGGAGAATGGGTGAGTAATTGATTGCAATATGAGTAGATTTAGTGAATTTAGTGATTAATTTTGAAAAATTTGTAATACTTTTCGTGATCTTCGGTAATTTCTTTTCATTTTGAGACTGTTCTCAACAGATATTTGGGGAAAAGGCTAGGGAAATATTTCTCTTCAAATTGCACTTTGATTTTCATCGTCGTGACGTGAAGCAGTTTGACTGCGGTTTGCCGTCATGTCACCCAGTTAGGGCCCGGGGTTCCGGCAGGCCCACCCCGTGGAATTGCGGTGCTCATCTGCAAATTTGATCGTCATCATGAATCTAATTCATCAATCATTGATTGAATTTAAATCTAGATTTAACGTACACCTTGAAATAATCTATGAAGTATGATTTCTTTAATAATCCAAGTGGGTTAATTCTTGTTAAAATCTTTAATAGACCCTTCTTCTAGAGTACGTGGACTCTGTCGAGGTACTCACTACCCCCCCCCCCCCCCCCCACTGAGCAAAATATTGGCCGGCACGATTTTCAAATTTCAGCACACTAAATTTCAAATGTGCAATTATACACGCAATGGCCCAACGTACAAATTTACTCTTACTCATGTATTATACATTTGTTTCTATATTTTGTATATTGTTTGCATAGACTACCTTATGTTTTATATAATTATCCATATTTGTTGTAGACTAGATCTAGTCTATAACTGATTTGTTTGATTGCAGAAAATAAAGTCTTTGAAATGAAATGAAATGAAAAATTGGTGGTGTCAACTTCAGACCAAAATTATCTGTGACCATGGATAATCAAACAACTCCAAACCCTATTTTATTTAGGCCTAGATCTAGATGTAAACCTGGAACTTATTAATAAAAATATTCAAAAAACAACAACTAGGATTTGTTTATTTACTGTTTAGATTTTGTGTGGGTCCAGCATGCTTGTCTAGTTGTCATAACTCATATTCATAAGGAGTCTACATTAAAGATTTGTTTCCAAATTGTGCAGTTCATGTTGATAAATATATTTTTGTTGGACGTTGTATAAGAAATGACCTCTAGTCCACAATTATGTTTACTTATCTGTAGTCCACCTCTTCTTGTTATAATAAACTAATTCTACTTAGTACTTCTTTGTGCTCATAGGCCATAGAAAGCACTGTGTGAGGTACAAGTTAAATATTCCATTAGTTTTACTTTGTACTGTGGTTCATTAAATAGGAATGTTGATTTCCACACCATGTTAAATATAAGGCCAACCATGACATAAAAAATAGCTATTATGCTTGATCTATTTTATTGTTAAGGAGAAAGGGATGCCTTGATTATTGTATTGGTTTTTTCCTTCTTTTTGTTCCAACAGATTGAAACTAAAGAGCTGAAAGAAGTTAACAACATGAAGCAGAAAGTCCCATGCAGGTACAATTACCAGGTTATTTAGCACACAAATATTAAACGATCACCTACATGTATTAATTCACTAAAAAAATAAATGGAACTAAGTTGACGTTGCAATTATAGCGCTTAGAGACTTCGGTGGTGAGCGCTTTATAAGTAACATTTTTATTATTATTATTATTATTAGCGTATATAGTGGAGGGTATATTTTATTCTAGTTCTGCACCTAGCATACAATTTCAATTTCAATTTCAAATTTATTCACATTTCAACAAAACATTACAAATAATTATAAGCATTTAAAACAAATTTAAGAAATACATGTTGGAAACAGAGGGGTCCACTAAAAAGCAATGCTTGTACAAGTGTGAACACCTCAAATAAAACTTAGGAATAATGAGTAATTAAATTTACTAATCTGTAATGACAAAAGGAACTACAAAATAGGGGAAATAAAAATGGGGATGCCAACAGAGACGAGAAAGGGACAAGACAATACTTTACACGACAAAGATAGAAGAACATGGTCATAATTATACAAAGAGTAGACAATGACAAAAAGAAGTGAGAGATCGAGGGTACAGAAAAAAATACTAAATGATGAGCTGCATGTGGGGTTGAGAAGAAGATAAGGAAAGAGAAATATTGATGTCTTTAATTTTTTTGGTTTACAAAGGAAAATGTGTCCTTATTTAAAGGAGGTCCTGTGTGCCCGCCCCCCCCCCCACTCAGTGTTATTTATTTGGGGGTATGCATATGCGTGTTCCCTCCTTTTGAAAACACCCCCCTAAGTCTGGTGTGTAAAGTCAATACGGGCCGGATTTTTGTGTACTATGAGCCAGACTTCGTGAAAACTACCCCTTTACTGGACATTTTGGGAATACGCATGCGGTCCTGCCGACCCCTGAGTGGGGGGGGGGGGGGGGGGGCGGGCCTGTGTGTAGAAGAGCCATATCTAATCCACATCCAAAGCACTACATGTAGGGTAAACACAGGACCCCTCATTACTTTTTTGTAAGGGCTCCTTTCACTTCTCGAGCAATGAAGATGAAGAAGAACACAAAATAAGATGAAAGTCTGTTTATAGGATGTATTATGGTTGATATGTATCCATTAGTATCAGTTTTAAATTGAAGTACCTACTTTGTTCTCTGTCATGTAGGATGATGCTTCTCTACAGTGGGTGATGAAGGCATGCTGGTTTACAAACTCAGGAGAGGAACAAAGAAGAGATATTGACGGGATCATATCTAGAGATGCGGGCCTACTACACTTCATACGAGCAAGTGTGCTAATATACATGTAGGTACCCCAATAAACTTTTGTGGAACACATGTCATGCAGAAAATTATAGATCTGACGAAGATATTTTTCATTGTCAGTTGACTTGTAAAAGAATAATTGACTGAATATCACAATTGTGATTAAGATTAAAAATTAAATGTCAATATAGATGAAATATAAGTCTACGTTACGTGTGTTTCAGTAGCATTATTTCCAGTATATTCTCTGGTCCAAGTTGTTTGGTCATTTTATGTCCCATACTTAAAGGTAATACACAGTTTTAGTATGGGGTCATAAATTTGGTTCAATTGAACATATTGGACGCATATGAGATCCTACAATATTCAGTGATCGTTGTCGCGGTTGTAATCGAGTCTAAAATTATGAAATTGTAAATCATAAACTCTTTATGTTGTATAGCTTCCTCTCAAGGTCAAGATATAAATTTTTCTTGACTAAAATCGACCAATTTGCTATTCTCGTTTGGAAGATATATATCACATCTACATATTCTGAGATTTTCATGGTCGCAGCTACCATTTGAAATTTATCAAAATTTACCGGGAGCACCAGTAAATATTTATATTCAATTTTTCTCGAAAGCAGAAGTGTTTTAGAGGCTAAGTTTTCTAGTGCTTATAATACATCCACAGGGGCATTCAAATATATCAAAATTGTAAAGAATCACTATCCACCCAATTTTCAAAATTTCGTAAAACTTTGTATTACCTTTAACCGAGTATTATTCAATAATGAGCACGAGTTTACATCACAAGTACATTGTATTACTTATTTCATACCTTGTCTGAACCAAACTCCAGCAGTCCTATCGTCTCAATGGGATCATCAGAAATAATCTAAAATGTGGTCAGAAACTAGTCTTGTACGAAAAATAGTTTCGGTTTGCCCAATAGAACCCCAAGTGAATTTCAATCCTTCCTTTTTCTGAGCAGGTATCAGGGTGTGTGTTATTAGTCGTCATTGATTTTCTTATATCTTATTTCATTTTTCCATTCAACAGACTTGGGTTATCACTACAGCCCTTTCTTCTGAAAACTAGGCTACAACTTTAGTGATGAATGCAGAAGACATCTACACGGGACTACGTCTTAAAGATGACACCCTCATATTATGAAACAGTACAATAGAGATGGGTTTAAACTGGAATATTTACATGATATTTATTTATTATTTGTATTATATGTTTGTAGAATACCACATTCAATAAAGCCAATGAAGTTTATTATCTTGTCAACGTAGAAATAATTAAAGATAACTAATCCTCAATGAATAAATATTAAAATTCTAACAATGTAAACTACCATCTTATAAGATGAAACTGAGGACTGGGCAGAAAGATTCTCCTTGAAATTTGAGTGATAAAGATCTATCAGTCCATATCAAAGATTGAATTAATTAATGATATTTTAATTATAATTATACTTGTTGAAATTCATTTACCTCTATGGACGGGGGGGGGGGGGGGGGGGGCTTGCTATCCTCTTCCTGGTGCTGTTATTACATGGCCCATGTAACGGGTTGCAATAGTGTACACATATGATTATATGTTTATATTAGAAGGACTTAGAAAGTGAAAAGTTTTGAATTATAGCATTAGTGTTGGTGAAAGTAACGGCAGTGTTGATTGTTAATGGGAGGGGGGGGGGGGTTGTTTCCCCAGTGAAATTAACGGTATACCAATGTAAAGTTAATTAAAAAAAGAGAAAACTATTCTTAAAAATAAAAATTATACAGGACATGGCCTCCTAACAAAAACCCTGGTACCACTTCGGTGGTGGTGCTGTCTGTTTTTTTAGGGGGGGGGGGGGGGCAAACCAATTAAACATTTCTAGTGTTAAATTCAATTGTCTTTAAAAAAAAAATTATGTCAAGATATTGAAATTAAACAATGGTTCACTTTCCTTTTTTCAAGTTAGAAAACTTGAATAAAATGCTAACCCTAAATTAAAAATGTTCTACTTCTAGCAAAGCTTCTGCAAAGGCTGCAAAAGGTAGAGTGAAGAGAATCCAATTGAAATGTGGACAGTAATGGAGTGAATATGGAATGGTTGATCGTAGTTGATAACGAGGGAATGCAAATGAGTGGTAACAAGTACGACTGAAAGTGAGACAGAAAGGAATTGCAAGAGGTTGTTCAGTCAATGGAACAAACCTTGCAGAAGATAATTTTCGGAGAGAAAGAGAGAAAAGGGGAATCATTAAAAAAGGAAAAGGGGCACCTATCAGTAGGAAAAGGGTACTTACAAAAAAAGGAAAAGGAGGCATGTGTCATAAGGACATTGATGAGAAAGGGTGCATATAACCCATGGACATTTTGTAAACCTTCAAATGATGAATTATCATCGAGTTCCCCCTCATTTTTTTTTGTCAGCTCGTGACAAACATATAATCCAGATGAAATAATTCTTCACAGCATATCAGTGGCGGATCCAGGGGGGGCGAAACGGCCGCGCCCCCCCCCCCCTATTGGCGGCGCAAAAAAAAGGAAGACAAAAAAAAAGAGGAAGAAAAGAAGAGAAAAAAGAAAAGAGAAGAGAAAAAAAAGGAGAAGAGAAAAGAAAGGAGGAGAGAAAGGAAAAAAGAAGAGAAAAGAAAAGAGAAGAGAAAAGATAACGAAATTATTGAATAGAGGGGGGGGGGGGCCGGGCCGGCCGCATAAAATCTCGAGCCGCGGATTCAAAGTTAAACGTTAAGAACAGCCCCTGCGCTACAAAGGTCATCACTCTGAAGTGAGAAATTTGAAAGGGCACAATATTTTGGGTGTCTTTTAAATAGAAGTTATATACTCAACAGTCAAATTGGCCGCTTCACAACTCTTATTTTGCCCTTCATTTGGATTCAGCTCATACCAGCTCGCTTGTGCTTGTATTTGAACTCATGTTGGTAGTAATCATGGACAGGGGCGGCAATCCTGGGTCCGATAGGGGGACACGTCCCCCAGGAAATTTAGAAATATAGCTAGAAAGAAATATAGCGAAAAGAACGTACATAATGGGCTCAGGGATTTTCTAGAATGCATAATTTCAGCATTCAACATTGAAAAAATCTCGCTTGGTCGCTACGCCCCGGCCGGCCGCGGCCCTCGCCCGATAACACAAAACTATGACGCTCCCGGCCGTGATTTATCCATGGTTGGTGTAATAGATCTTTTTCCATTTCATTTCTACTAACCTAATTGTGTGCCATCACAATCATGATTGTTTCATTTTCCCTTTAAAGCAGGCGCGTAGCCAGAGGCGGTAGGGGCAGTAAGATGACATAGGACGAAATAGCAGACAAAGAAACATTTTTGAAAATTCTGACAAGTCGAGAACGGTACAACGAATCGTCTTCTTTCTCTAATAATTTAATGGAATGTAAAAGCTTCCGCGCATCGCTCGGGAGGGGGGCAACTGAATTCAGAAAAGGATTGGGAGTCGAGAATGGAAACGTCAAAGCTTCCGCGCGCGGGAGGGGGAAAACTGAATTTAGACAAGGAGTCGAGAATGGTACAAAGAATCGTCTCCTTTCCTTATAATTTAATGAAACGTCAAAGCTTCGGCGCTTTGCGCGTGAGGGGGGGGGGGGGGGACTCAATTCAGACAATTAAGAGTCGAGAACGGTACAACGAATCGTCTTCTTTCTCTAATAATTTATTGAAATGTAAAAGGTTCCGCGCTTTGCGCGGGAGAGGGGGGAGAGGGGGGGAAGCTCATTTCAGACAAGGATAAAGAGTCGATGACGGTACAACGAATCGTATTCTTTCTCTAATAATTTAATGAAACGTCAAAGCTTCCGCGCTTTGCGCGTGAAGGGGGGTGGAACTCAATTTGGTCAAGGGTTAAGAGTCGAGAACGGTACAACGAATCGTCTTCTTTCTTTAATAATTTATTGAAATGTCAAAGCTTCCGCGCTTTGCGCGGGAGAGGGGGGGGGGGGGGGAGGGGGGGGGAGGGGGGGGGAAGCTCATTTCAGACAAGGATAAAGAGAAGATGACGGTACAACGAATCGTATTCTTTCTCTAATAATTTAATGAAATTTTAAGCTTCCGCGCAATGCGCAGAAGGGGGAAATTGAATTTAGACAAGGATTAAGAGTCGAGAATGAAACAACGAATCATCTTCTTTCTCTAATAATTTCATTAAACTATGAAAGACCAAAGCTTCCGTGCTTCGCGCGGGAAGGCGGAGGGGGGGAGGTGGCTGAATACAGTCAAGTTATAAGAGTCGTGAATGGTACAACAAATCTTCTTTCTCTATTAATGAAAGGTCAAAGCTTCCGCGCTTTGCGCAGGCGGGAGGAACCTGAATTCAGACAAGGATTAAGAGTCGAGAATGGTACAACGAATCGTCTTCTTTCCGTTATAATTTAACGAAACATCAAAGCTTCCGCGCTTCGCGCGGGAGGGGGGGGGGGAGCTCAATTCAGACAAGGATTAAGAGTCTAGAACGGTACAACAAATCATCTTTCTCTAATAATTTCAATTTAAACTATAAAAAGTCAAAGCTTCCGCGCTTTGCGTGGGAGGGGGGGGGGGGGGGGGAGAGGTGGCTGAATACAGTCAAGTTATAAGAGTCGAGAATGGTACAACAAATATTCTTTCTCTAATAATTAATGAAACGTCAAAGCTTCCGCGCTTTGCGCGGGAGAGGGGGGGGGGGGGAGGGGGGGAAGCTCATTTCAGACAAGGATAAAGAGTCGATGACGGTACAACGAATCGTATTCTTTCTCTAATAATTTAATGAAATTTTAAGCTTCCGCGCAATGCGCAGAAGGGGGAAATTGAATTTAGACAAGGATTAAGAGTCGAGAATGAAACAACGAATCATCTTCTTTCTCTAATAATTTCATTAAACTATGAAAGACCAAAGCTTCCGTGCTTCGCGCGGGAGGGCGGAGGGGGGGAGGTGGCTGAATACAGTCAAGTTATAAGAGTCGTGAATGGTACAAAAAATCTTCTTTCTCTATTAATGAAAGGTCAAAGCTTCCGCGCTTTGCGCAGGCGGGAGGAACCTGAATTCAGACAAGGATTAAGAGTCGAGAATGGTACAACGAATCGTCTTCTTTCCGTTATAATTTAACGAAACGTCAAAGCTTCCGCGCTTCGCGCGGGAGGGGGGGGGGGGGGGGAGCTCAATTCATACAAGGATTAAGAGTCTAGAACGGTACAACGAATCATCTTTCTCTAATAATTTCAATTTAAACTATAAAAAGTCCAAGCTTCCGCGCTTTGCGTGGGAGGGCGGGGGGGGGGGGGAGAGGTGGCTGAATACAGTCAAGTTATAAGAGTCGAGAATGGTACAACAAATCTTCTTTCTCTAATAATTAATGAAACGTCAAAGCTTCCGCGCTTTGCGCGGGAGGGGAAAAACTGAATTCAGACAAGGAATACGAGTCGAGAATGGTACAACAAATCGTCTTCCTTCTCTAGTAATTTAATGAAACGTCAAAGCTTCCGCACTTTACACGGGAGGGGGAAAACTGAATTTAGACAAGGATTAAGAGTCTAGAACGGTACAACGAATAGTCTTTTTTCTCTAATAATTTAATGAAACGTCAAAGCCTCCGCGCTTCGCGCGGGAGGGGAAAACTGAATTCAGACAAGGAATACGAGTCGAGAATGGTACAACAAATCGTCTTCCTTCTCTAATAATTTAATGAAACGTCAAAGCTTCCGCGCTTCGCGCGGGAGGGATAAACTGAATTCAGGACAAGGATTAAGACTCTAGAACGGTACAACGAATCATCTTTCTCTAATAATTTCAATTAAAACTATAAAAGGTCAAAGCTTCCGCGCTTTGCGCGGGAGGGGGAAAACTGAATTCAGACAAGGATTAAGAGTCTAGAACGGTACAACGAATAGTCTTCTTTCTCTAACAATTTAATGAAACGTCAAAGCTTTCTTCGCGCGGGAGGGGGAAAACTGAATTCAGACAAGGAATAGGAGTCGAGAACGGTAAAACAAATCGTCTTCTTTCTCTATAATAATGAATAAAAGGTCAAAGCTTCCGCGCTTCGCGCGTAATTTGGAGGGGGG